ATATATATATATATAAGTCCCCCAAAGTCTCCAATTGTGTTTCACGTTTCATGAAGATAATTGTTACCCTTCGTCCGTATATTTTTGGCTTTATATAAAAATATATCAAATGAATTTAATATTTTAAGTGAAATCTTCATTTATATTGGATAATTTAGGTTGATTGATGTGTTTAATTTGTAGACATTTATCTACCGTTCTTTTTAGCTTGAAAATTAATTTTATTGGTATTTTATAACTTAACTTAATTATATCAATTTTATTATTTTGTATGTGAAGATTAAAATAAAAATTAATTTTTTAATAAATAACAATTTACACATATTATAATAATTTAATCATAATTTTATGTCTAAATATTAAATTGAAGTGATTCTTACGATATTGAAAAACTAAGAAGTTGAGTTATAATTTATCTTTTATGAGCTCAACCCAGTTCACTCAGCTTCAAGACAGATTTTCAGCTGGAATGCACGGTTTTGACTTTTGACAACACAGGAGGCTGGGCAAATTGTGCGAAGAAAGAAAAGAAAAAAAAAAAAAGAGAAGAAAAAGAGAACTGAGCTGGTAGCATACCAGGCCCAAAAAGGTCAAAAGCCGAATATGGACTAGAAAGAAAAAGAAAACAATTGAAGAAAGAAAAAAACAAAAAAGAAGAAAAAGAGAACTAGGCTGATACCATACCAGGCCCAAAAGGGTCAAAAGCTCTAGTGGAATATGGACTAGAAAGAAAAAGAAAACAATTGAAGAAGGAAAAAAACAAAAAGGGAGAAAAAGAGAACTAGGCTGGTAGCATACCAGGTCCAAAAGGGTCAAATGCTCTAGTGGAATATAGACTAGAAAGAAAAAGAAAACAATTGGTCAATATTATATATATATATATATATATACAAATACATCTCTGCGAAGAGGAGGGAGAGACGCCGCCGACCAAGCTGGGTTTTTTGGGGAGAAATTTTGCAGAGGGTCGTCGCCCCAAAGACTGAGCCAGGCTTTGTTTTCTCTCTTTTCTCCGGTGTTGCTTCACAAAATTCTGCAGAGGGAGATGACGAAGAAGACGCTGCCGCCGCCGCTGTCTGTTTCTCTTCTCCGCCAGCGTGGGTCGAGAAATCTGCACAGCACGCCATCGTGAAGTTGCAGATTGGCTGTGTTCGTGGGACTGGTTTTATTCACTCTTAATTTGATTTTTTTTACAATGATTCTCTGCTGGTGTTTCCCATCTATGGCTGTCCAAAATTTATTTATGTGTAGCTAGATTTTTTGAGTTAGGGTGGATGGATTTTATTTTTTGGATTATGTGACTGTTTTTTTTTAATTTAATTCAAGATTTATTGGTTATTTGCATGAAGAGTTTATATTATTGAACTTAATGCATTGAGAGTTTGATTAATTTTTAATTGATTTAATAATTCATACATGTATTTGAGAAAGAATTATCGTAAATTAGATTAATAATAATAATTAGCAAACATGTGATACGGAGGAAGAGAAGAGAGGTAGAGAAGAGAGTTAGAAGCTCTCTTTTCTTAAGACAGAGGTTTTCATAGAATTTAATATTCATTAGTTTGTTCAAAATTATATAGAAATATGATTAATTTGGAAAACAAGTGAAGGGTTAGCTTAACTTGAGAAAACTAATTAATTAATTTAAGAAAATCTGTCATCTCATACTATAACACTATTATTTGAACTTAAATTAAATTAATTAAACAGTTACATAATTTAAAATTAAATAAAATTTAAGTCCTAGTTCCTTCTCAATTTGTTTTACTTTGAAAATTTTTTTAGTTTAAGTAGTTTTGTTTTAAATAGTCTAACTTTGTTTCATTAATCAGTTAATTCAACTTAGGTTAGATTAATATCGTTTTAAGAGTGTAAAATAAAATAGTCTTTGAAGAAACAATATTTTATTCATCTTATACTGCATAATCGGTTAGGTTTACTGCTTAACTTCAAAGAAACGATATTTTATTCATCTTATACTGCATAATCGATTATGTTTACTACTTAAGAGTAGTACATATATTTGGTACATCATTGATAACTCTTATTTTACTAGGTTTGGGATTGATTTTGAGGGGATTGCATAATCTATTCCTATTTACCTTGGTCACTTGTTTGTTGAACGAGATGAATTACTTAGGTTTGGATTAAAGCCGTCAGAGCCATCAGCACTCTTAAGGCAAAAAATAAAGGCATAAATATGATATAAGGACCCAAACTTACACAAAATTCACAATGTTAGACCCAAACTTCAATTGCACTCAATTAAGGTCCCGAACTCCATGAAATTCTCAAATAAGGTCCCAATTGGACAGAAAAACTAACTTCTGTTAAATCTAAAAAACACAGTTAATGTTCTGTCACACTCCCTTAACTGAGTTTGTGACGCCGTTTGTTATTTGCACGCCTTTGCATGTTGCACCTGCACACCTTTGCATGTTTTTTTTTTCCATTACTTCATTTGTTTTTAGTAATAATATTATTTATTCAGGCTTTTTTTTTATGGTATCCCCCCCATCTCTCTCTCACCGTTTTCTCCAGTTTCTGCATACCCTCACTCAGCGTCCCCTTTTTTGAACTCGGAAGCCCTTGGGCTTTCCGAGTGTTTTGCCGCTTGAGCTGCCGGGCTCTCCGGCTGCTCAAGCCTCCTGGAGCCGGTTACGTGCTCCCTGCTCCGATGACCCCTGGGTGGTCTGTCGGCTTTTGGGATCCCTTCTGGTGGTCCTTTTCTTGTGTTTTTTTTTCTGTTTTTCTGTTTGTTTGGTTCGTTTGTGCTTAGATCCGGTGGCCGTCCAACCCTCACGCGGATCTACCGTGGTGGTCGCTGGGTTCCCAGATCTGGTGGCCACCGCCGGTTTGGCTTCCCGCCTCGGCGTCCTGGAGACTAAGCGCCACTCCTACACGAGTAGATTGAAGGGTGTCCAGTTATCTTGATCGTTCGAC